ATGGGAAGAAATTTTTTTTTTTTTTTTTTTTCACACACCATAAGATTGTTTGATAGCATGGTATTAGCGGGTATTAATCCCAGCGACTTGCATGCAAAGGCAGGACTGTAAGGGTCTGTGGAAGTTTCAAGGTGAGCGAGATAGTTTCTTTCCTAACCCATATCCCCCCCCACAAAAAAAAAAAAAAAAAATGCGTCAATACTTTTTTAAACACAACTTCAAAGGAGCTTTCAGTTGCTTTCATTAGATTTATATTACGACAATAGTTTAGGATTTTTTATTTATTTATTTATTTATTTTTATTTTATTTTTTTTTTCAATCAATGGTTATTTAGAGATTGGTTTAATTTTGTGTAACCCGAGAGAAAAATCTATTTTATATACTTGTCGTGGAGTCCTTTGCAGTAAATCTCATAGTTCTCGAGCTATATTATAAAGTGAATTCATTTATAAAAGTCTCCAAAAAAAGATTGTTTCGTAGCCTATCCCTATTTGTTCGTAGTCATTGTAGTACGTATGTATACCTTATAGTTTTCGAGCTATAATGAGAAATTCAGTTCTGTGTTAGAAACAAATCTTTGAACAGGAAAAAAAAAATTATATATATATATATATATATATATATATATATATATATATATATATATCTACCTTGTTGATGAACATTTTGTGATCTATCATTATGTTCCTAAATTTTCATACATAAGGTTTGATCCCTTAATATTATGCGATTATCTTTATTTACCGATATGTTGTAGGGCATAATGTAGTGTATCTTTCCTATTAGTTGCATTAAATTTGAACGGTAATTTATTGAATTATCGGTATTGTATTTATTCGGGTGTTTAGTCCCCCTAGAAGGTAACAAGGAAAACGCGGTCTTGAATAAACTTTTCCTGCTTACCTTTTTAGGGAAAACTAAACACAAACACAAATACAATCCAATATAATAGCTATAGCATAATAATAATAATAATAATAATAATAATAAGAATAAGAATAAGAAGAAGAAGAAGAAGAAGAAGAAGTAAAATAACAATAATAATCATAATCATAATCATAATCATAATCATAATCACAATAATCATAATCACAATAATCATAATCACAATAATCATAATCATAATCATAATAATAATAATAATAATAATAATAATAAGAAGAAGAAGAAGAAGAAGAAGAAGAAGAAGAAGAACAAGAACAAGAACAAGAACAAGAACAAGAACAAGAACAAAAACAAGAACAAGAACAAGATAATAATATAATAATAATAATAATAATAATAATAATAATAATAGAATAATAATAATAATAATAAAAATAACAATAATAATAATAATTATATTAATAGTAATAATAAAAATAATAATAATAATAATAATAATAATAATAATAATAATAATAATAATAATAATAATAATAATAATAATAATAATATATAAATAAAGTGCTCAATCGCTATAACTGAGCTTAGGATTAATTAACCAAACTCAACCTAATCTCATCCAACCTAACTGAACATAGCCTTACCTCATCAAAACTAACTACAAAAAAAAATTAAAAATCATATA